CTATAATACTATCAATATCAAACAATTCGAATCTTTTGTAGCCAATAAACCCTTTTTTAAGGAAATCGAAAGCAATGAGGGTTTTGAACACCCCAAAAATGAAGAAAAAGCTCCTCCCGTTGCTGATGGTCCTACATATGAAATAAAACCAACCCAAGATAGACAATTGCAGAATCTTGAAATTGGCATCAAAAGAAAGGCGAACAATGCGAAACTTATACCCGAGAGATGATTAGTGCGGAACTGTTGTTTAATTTAGATATGAAGAAGCGTTTGTTTTGCTCCCAATGAGCTAGGGTGTATGTTTATTGAAAATTGGCGTGTCCCAAGTTTAAGAATTTCTTCATTTACTATTTGCCGGCGGTGGGGAGTGGTGGTGGAAAAAGCAATGGGGCCGTGGGGTGGGTGGCCGTGGCGTGGGCGTTGGCCGCTTCTGCTAGTGGTTTTTAGGGAAGAAGGGATGGTTGGTTTCTGTGTTTGATTTTTGTTTTCTTTTTATTTAATTATCAATATATTATAATTGTGTTTTTTATTGAAAAAAATGTAATGTTACAATTTTATCCTTTTAAAATTACTCAAATTTATGGTCAAGATCAATTCTCTAGTCAACTAACAGTCAAACTAACGTTTCGCATCCATTTGGACTGCAAGTGTGAATTTCTGAAAGGTTTGATACATTGGGTGCCACAAAATAAAGGATTGGGTCAATTCTGCATAAAAGTGAAATGTTTGGTACCGCAACTGCAATTTTTCCATATTTTAATGATTAGTCAATATGTAGTTAGTTAGCGTTAAAGAGAGTAATTTGTCACGTTACTAGCTAACTATTAATCAATGTGTAGTTAGAAGGCACGTTTGGCTTATATGGTAAAAATAATTAAATTTACTTTAAAGTAACTTCTATGTTTGAAGATGTGTTATTTTTTTACTTTTAAGTAAAAAAGTCATTTATTTTTAAAGTAATGCTTGTATTACTATCAAGATAAGTAGTTTATCGAAATATTATAATATTAATATAAACCAGTAAACTGAAACATTTCAAGCTTAGTGAAACATGCTGGCGTGTAAACTAAAATAATTTTTTGTTCTCTATTAGGAGAAGACTAACAGAAACAAAGTTTTAAATGAAAGAAAAATGAATGAGAAAATAATACCCTAAAGCATTATCTACTTCACTGAGGAACTCGACAGTGTTGGAGAAGAAGCCATTGGAAGTGCCTGTGATTCTTTGTAAAAACTCTTACTGATAAACGACATAAAAGAACCATTCTTTTCTTCTTCAGTCAAAATTCTTGAATTTTGAGTCTATCCTCCCCTTTTATTCTCAGCTTCTTCCATTAACAACTTTTCCTCAGCATCTTTCAAGAACTTCAACTTTGGAGGAGGGTGACATCTCAATCTATTAAGTTCTGCCTCTGACAATGATCTCAATCCATGGTCATAACAAGAATCACAAGCCCTGATTGAAGGTGAAGAACTAGGTGTTGAATATGGTGTGTCAGTTCCATCTACACCAGTAAAAAGATCACTCAAAGTTGTTTTTCTTGATTGTTTTCTGCTATTGTTATCACCCTTTGATTTCCCATCATCAGACTCCAAATCCTTCTCGCTTTCTTCCTTAATTGTGAAGAGAAATCTTGGGGGTCCCAGCCCACAAAGATTATGCAGCCTCATCAGTTCAGTTTCCACCCCTTGTTCACCATAGCCATTCACTAACAAATCCTTGCTTGATCCCAATTCCAAGTCCATTTGTTCATGCACATCTCTAGATTCTTCTTGGGTTTTCAGTGAATTGGTCCGTTCTTGACTGTTGTGTACAGAATTGTGCTTCATCTTCCAACAAAACAGACAAGGAAAACATTGAATTTCTCCTCTGCTTGCTGTTACTCTCTTCTTCCGCCATACCGAATGGTACAGTGCTGCCACAAGCCCCATTAGAATAAAACCAAACACAAAACTCAACCCAATTCCTAAACCACTATAAGATACCATTTTCCCCTAAAAATACGTCTTTTTTTCTTGAATCCCGTTGATTTATACGGTATATTACCTAATATACACAATTGAGAATCTTGGGTGGAAATTGGAATGGTGGGAAAAAATATGGTAAGTAGGGGAAGTTGATATTTGATTTAATAGAAGTGTGAAAGGAATATTTTTACCTTTTATTTGTAAATAAAACATGAAATATGAAAGGAAAGTGAAAATAAATGCAATCGTGCTATAAGTAATGGCAAATTTGACTAAAAGTGTTTACCGACAATTGACATGCATTTAGTGAACGATAGAAAAAATAAAAACAAAACAAGTGAATCACATTTCGTCACGTCACCTCCGATAAAAAAATTTGTCAAAAAAATTCTGCACTTAGGACTTTTTCCAAATATTTGATTTCACTAAGGCGACGAATTCTAGTTATATATATATATATATATATATATATTAAATTAATAAACCTTTTGATTCATAAGTGATTACAATAAGCTTTAAAAAATAAATATTGGCTCATGATTAATCTAATTTTGTATAATCTATTTTGAGAGGAGTTGAAAAGAGATTAAGTTCAACTCTTTAAATTTTATTTTTTCTCAATTTCATTTTTAATCATACATTCTCCCAATAAATAATTTTTTTTTTTTATATGGATCCATAAATTTTCACTATTTTTTAATTATAAATTCTTTCAAATAATCATTTTTCACAAAAAATCTGCATCAAAATACCCTAATTTTTCAAAAGACGAAATCGGCAAGCTCAGCAGTCTAATCCCCCTCGTGCGTTAAAGTTGTATAAAAATTACTTTGGAAATTCATCTGGAAATGTTTCGTGGCTGTGAAATCTTGTGGTGTATCTTCAACATCTTTAGCCCATGTTTGGCCCCCATTAAATTAAATTATATTACATTAAATTTTTCTCTCTCTTCATTTCAACCACGCATTCATCAAATAAAATAATATTACACACAAATCTAAAACTTTTCATTACTTTTCCACCACACATTTTCCCATCAATCACTATTTCAAAAAATTTCAACCCTAAAAAATGCCAAATAATGGGGCCAAACAGGGGCTTATTGACACACGTGGTGAACATGAGAAGAAAAACCGCCCCACCCCTTTCAGAAAATTGTTTCGCGAATTCCTTCCGGATAGCAACAGCACAATATGGTAACGAAAATGAGATAGATTGACAACCCTTATGAGTAAAGTATGGGAATAAAAATCGACAATGACTTTGTGTTAGGAAAAGTATAAAAAAAAATTAGAAATAGTGCTAGAATTATAAAATAATGGAAATAAATATAACAATAAATAGAGTAACAGTAAAATAGAGAAATATTGATTGTTGATGTAGTAGCTGTATTGAATGGAATCGAGGTATGTGTTGCATACAGTTTCCTTAAAACAAATTTGTCCCCATTGTGGTGTATGAGGATAGATGGCGTCTGTCTTTAAGGATACAACGAATAAAAGTAGATAACTAGCACATCGTCACAACTTTAGGCAAACTGAAAATGTCCATACTCCTATCATTAAGCTACAACAAAAACCTCTAAACTACTAAAAACAAAACTCCTGAAAACAAAGAGAAGAAATTTAGAGAGAGGGAATGAGGAGAATGCCTCCTAATATAGTACTAATATGAGGGAATTCAATTTTCTATTAATCTTGCATTTACACAAAATATGTCACAATTAAAGCTTTGTGACCGCCAATTCAATTGAAAATTAACTAGAGAATTGAAAAATATTCAATTTGCGTTACAATTTATCATTCACTTTTTATTTTTATTTTATGTTTTCCTACCATTTTTCGCATAAATGAAATTAACAACAATGACAAACAGATAAACATGGTGATAGAATTTAAGTATCAACGGTCAAAACCTGCATATGATAGATATGTGTTGCTCTTTAAACCTCCCTTATGTAATTATGTTTACTTTACAAGTTGATTAGTAGATACGATGCCCTTGAACTAATCTGTCATTTTTGTTTTTAATGATGACATACTACTCACGAGTCTTTCTAACAAAACTCGATTCTCGTAATTATGTTCATTTTGGCCAATAACATCTCATTGGTTCTATGAGAGTTTCTAAGGAATTATGCCCATGTAATTCCCTTTTGAAGTAGTTATACTTCTCTCTCACATATGTGATCTTTTAATTAAGAATAATCCGCATTACTCCGCTCGAATATTTTAAAACATAAGGATCGTTAAAAACTTTGTTTATCCTCTTTTCCCTTACAGGTATCACTATTTTTATCATAGAAATGGACTAAATCCCTACAATCATCCAGCACGATCTTTAAAATTAGGTTGTCTTTTTGAACCTAAATTTTGGGATCTCCAATCAATTAGATTAGGTTTTCATTCTATCGATTTATTCTTTTATGTACTTTAGTCCCATTTTCCTCGATGATTTCTCAACTCTCTACTTAACCATTTGGTTAGCGGATCCGCAATATTATCATTTGGCCTCTCATAGTCAACAAAGATAATTTCGGTAGAGATTAGTTGTCTAATGCTATTATGTCTTCAACGAATATGTTTTGACTTACCATTGTACATGTTGCTATGTGCCCTGCCAATTGCAAATTGAATATCACAATGTATGCATATTGCAGCTACAGCTACATGCTTTAACCACCTTGGAATATCCTCTAAGAAATGGTGTAGCTATTCTGCTGTTCCCCACATTTATTAAGTACGATAAATTCATATTTCATTGTGGATCTAGCTATAGTAGTCCGTTTTGAGGATTTCTAAGGCAAAGCTGCACCTCCTAGCGTGAACATATATCCACTAGTAGATCTTGAGTCTTTTATGTCAGATTTCTTATTTACATCACTATATCTTTCTAGGATTGTTAGATATCTTGTATAGTGCAGGCCATAGTTACAAATATGTCTGAAATACCTCAGTACTCTCAAAATTTCCTATCAATGGTCAGCTTCAGGATCACTCGTGTATCTACTTAGCTTACTTACTGCGTAAGTTATGTCGATCTTGTACAACTCATTAAGTACATTAGATTATCAATCACTCTAGAGTATTCCATTTGAGAAATACTCTCTTCTTTATTCTTGAATAGATGTACACTTTATGTCTATTGGTATTCTGACAACACCAATGGCATCTTTACTAAATTCGATATTGTCAACATAATGTGAGTGATTTAAAACAACTCCATCTAATATTCTCGAGATCTTTATTCCTAAGATAACATCGATCAGTCTCGTATCTTTTATATCAAATCTTGAATTCAACATATCTTTGGTATATAATGAACATGTCATCAATGTATAGGCACATAATAATATATCCATTCTCGGTGTCTTTGATATAAACACATTTATCGCATTCATTGATTTTAAATCCACTTGTTATCATAGCACTATCAAATTTTTCATGCCATTGTTTTGGATCTTATTTTAAACTATACAAGCACTTCACCAGTTCACATACTTTCTTTTATTGTCCAGGTGCAATAAAACTCTCAAGTTGTTCCATATAGATATCTTCTTCAAAATCTCCATTTAGAAAGATTGTTTTCATATCCATTTGATATACTTCAAGATTGCACATGGTAGCAATTACTAGTACCATCCTTGTGGAATTTATCATCATCACAGGAGAATAAGTATCAAAGTAATCTAGACTTTCTCATTGTCGATAACCTTAAATTATAAGTCTCGTCTTGTATTTAACAACTGGTCTATCTGCTTTCATCTTTCTTTTAAAAAATGACTTGGATCCTAGATATTTACACCTAGGGGGGAGATTCACTAACTCTCAAGTGTGACTTTACAGTATGGAATCAATTTAGCTTTTAATGGTCTCTTTCCACAAAGGTCCTTCAACGGATATTACTATCTATTTAAAAGTTCAAGGTTTACTTTCTAACAAATATGTTAGAAAATTTGAAACAAAATATTTTTATGTCCTTGCTCTTTTACTATATCTAGGTTCATCTTAAACATCTTCATTTTTTCGTATTCTCAGTCCTAACCATTTTCACTAATAGTCTCAAATGTTCATTTTTATGAACTCGATCCTTATTTGGACTTACAAGAAAAAACATGTTCAAAGAGTGATGCATTTTTTGATTTCATTATTGTATTTTTGTGTATGTCTGGAATTTTAGACTCATTTACAAGGAACCGATATGCACTACTATTATGTGTATATCCAATGAAAATGCAGTCAACTATTTTTGGATCCATTTTCATCTTCTTCGGTATAGGTACAACCACTTTAGTAAGACATCTCCACATTCATAAAAATTTATAGGAAGGTTTCATTCCTTTTCATAATCCATATGGGTCTTTTTTTTCTTTTTTCGGGACACCTTATTTAAAATAAAATTTGCTGATAGAACAGGTTTTTCCCACATATTCTGAGACAAACCAGAACTAATAGCATTGCATTCATCATCTCTTTCAATATATGATTTTTTCACTTAGCAACACCATTTGACTGAGGCAAATAAGACATCGTGGTTTGATGGACTATACTATTTTGAACACGAAACTCACCAAATAGTGATTTACACACACCTCTTCGGTAAATTCTTAACATCTTAATCTTTTTGTTGAGTTGATTCTCAACTTCATTTTTATGTTGAACAAATTTTTTATAGTTTCATCAATGGCTTTTAAGTATATATATATAACTATGTATTGTGATGTCATTAACAAAAGTAATAAAAGCCAATCAGATACATACCCTTTACCGATAAAAAGTCCACTCTTGAACAAAACAATTTTATCAAACTCAAAAACCATGCGGAAACCATGCTTTTAAGCAGCGAATTAGAGACCATGTTCTTTCTGATTTTCGACATTTACAACACGTTGTTTAGAGTCGACTCTTCCAAGAAGTCATCTTCGAGATCACTTTGCCTTAGCCCTTGATCCCAAAAGTAGCAGTTGGGAAAGACCAATCTAGGCATCCAACTGCATACATGCGGAATCACTCATCTTCAATAATTTTATCATTAATGGACACGAGATCCGGTGATGGAATTGAAGCGTTAATGATTCTCGATGAAAAATATGCTGCAGCATTCGAAAACAAAGAGGAGCTTCAGGCTTTAGCTTCCATTGATCCTAGTCCAGGTATTGCGTTCATAAATATAAAACTTTTCAATATTCACAGCCATGTAAGATCGCGTGTTTTAGCATTTATAACCAGTTTATAGATTGAGACCTGTTTGGAATTGCTCATGCCTTCTGTAGAAGAAGTTTCTCAATTGTCCCAAAAAAAACTCGTCTAATTCGACAAAGCATGATTAGACTCGGAATGATCAGAGATTTAAATGGTGTTAAGCAAGTCGTATTCCTTTTTGCTGTCATGCTGTGTTAGTCTTTTGAAATAACGTGTAATACAAACTACTTGACATTACTAACGATACTATCTAATATTACTTACCAAATGAACTTTATCTCATGCCCCCCCAATGGACATGATACAAGTATACAACCTTCACACAGCTAATGTGGCAAAAGAACCTTATTTATAGTTCTCCCCGTTTCAAAGAACCATAAATATTACCACATCAGCAGTAAAAAGCTTTTATCCTGCTCATTGAGAACAAAGGACCCCAATAAAATCAAGAAACTCAATCGATCACAAATAACAATATGGTTCTCTGAGTTTCTAACAATCATAAATATTACCACATCAGCAATAGAAAGTTTTTATCCTGCTCATTGAGAACAAAGGACCCCAATAAAATCAAGAAACTCGGTCGATCACAAATAACAATCTACTTTTATGTAATTTCTAATGTTGAAAAGTCAATGTCACTAAGAGAGAATTGACTCTTTCGAATACAAAATATAATAATTAAAAAAAGACACAAATTTTAGTTTTGTTTCGCTTTTTATTTGAGAAATGAAATGAATTCATGCTGTCCTAATACCTGACTCGATTCTTCCCAAGACGTTCGAGAGAAGAATATTGTATTGATTTTACCACACAAAATTAACAATCAAATTTCACGCACATACAACAGCAATATTGTCTTGGTACAAAAACAAGAATGTTTGGTAAGCCGAACTGGATTGTGCTAAACAGAATTAAAGAAGAAAAATAAATTTAAATCTAGTTCGTTTTGCTATGCAGTAACTATAAACTGCATAGCATGCATAACTAAATGGTTTATCGACATGAACTATACAGACAAAATTTTTGCCTCCCCAGAATTGAAGAAACCAAATGAGCTCGTGTTGCTAGCTGCATTTAGACAAGCCAGAAAACACAATCTTATAACCAAATCTGAACCACGGCTTCATTCCCGTTCACAAGCAAACATGATTTCTCCTGCCGAGAAATCAACAGCTTGTGATGCCTGACTAATTTAGACAAGCACTTGGAAGTGGGAACCAATACTGTGGCCACTTCGGATACATGCGCTTGTATAAACTCATGCAGACAGTGTCATGCTGCTGAAGGACCCCATTGAAAACACATTTCATTGCCCCTGAAAAAAAGATAGGGAGAGAACTTGTAATCCATTAACCTGATAAAGGTACAATGGTCCAGGACTGAGATTAATGATCATAATGAAATTATTATTCCTGGGTAATGAACAGAAATATAAAAATAAATATTGCACAATCAATCGGTCTAATTATGCAGCTTATGGCAGAGCAACACATCCTAGTCCATAAATGACCAGTCATTACCAAATCGAAGTACATTGTCCATGTGCATGTTTTTCATGCGCATGCACAGGCGTTCATGCATACGCATTTACCAAATTTTAACATGCACCCCGGCACAAATATACATGTCAAATTGTTATATTTACTTCTAAATTGTCAATGGACGGATTTTCTCTACACCAGTTATCATATTTCTCAAATACACATCAGAAGACAAGTAAGAACTCAATAATAAATTATACAGCATTTTATCACCCTTTGCCTCAAGACAAAATTAATTCTAAAACATATATTGATAGATTGTCATACCATGTGTCCCAACAGGTTCTTTAATACGACCACGGCGCCCACACTTGGTCCAAACTTCGATCGGCTGGCCATTAACAAGAAGATCAACAAGGGAAGAAAGAGAAATGGTCAGACCATTACACATGCAATTATACAATTAAAATGTTAGCAGTACTTACCTTGAACCATTTCACATCCTCTGGATTGTGAAACATATATCTTACAGTTGCCTTCTTTTTAGATACACGTTGAGGGTAACTGCAAAACATACAAATTTTGTAGTTTAATTAGATACAAAATATTCCAACAAATATGCGAGCCAGTTGCCTTCTTTTTAGATACACGTTGAGGGTAACTGCAAAACATACAAATTTTGTAGTTTAATTAGATACAAAATATTCCAACAAATATGCGAGCCAGTAACCCATCATAATTCTTTCTGTACTTGTGGGCTAGGCACAATCCCAAAAGCTGGAAGAACAGACGATGGAGCATTATTTTAGTTTGAGTTACAGTTGAGTACCCTACCGTTAGTTGAGTATGACTTGACCCTACTTTTACCAAACTGAAGCTTTTTGAATATGACAATCGAGGACTGAGGGCAGCCTTAATTATTGTGCATCACAAAATAGTGTTACCAACTAATTTGGTATAAGTGAATGGAAATGCAAAGCGTAATCACAACCCTCGCATACGGCCTAAAATGGAGACAAATGTGACATTCAGAAGATCCCTCTTAATTATGCACACGAGCGTAAAAAATTGATCATTACTAAAAGGAGATGGTTTCTTACCCAGATAAAATAATTTTCTTAAGGATAATCCTATCAGGGTCTATACTTTTTAAAGAACCAACGGCAGCAACAGCAGGGAGTGAATCTTCTCCCTCACTCTTCAAAGCAATTAGAGGAACAGAAGGAAAGGAAATTGGAGCGTAAATTGAAGCTATTGAAAACCTCCCTGCATGAAGAAACCTCTCCATTTTGTGCTTGTCAGAATTGATATTATCTGAAGAAAAAATTGGCCTGATCATCAAAGAAAATATGGCAATAGTTCAGATGGTGAAAGTCGAGGAGTTGTGTTTAAAAAACAAAGATGGTAGGAAGAAAAGAACCTCGATAAAAACTGCCGAAAGCCAACATGGAATAGGAGTTCTTCTTTTGCTTTAATAGGAGCATCATATGTATCATGCTTCCTGATGCTGCAAATCACCCAAACAAAATTATATCAAAATCATAGCAAAGTTTAAAAGAAAAGAAGAGGGGAAAGATGTAGAAATAGTTACCTGAAATGGAGGACAGAGATTTTAGACTCGTGCTGCAAAAGACCAGAGGATATGACTGGCATTTTCTTGGCCAACATGCATAACTTTGATGCAACACCATTTGGTACTTCCTTGATATGAATTCTTGCATATGAGCCAATGGGTATACAGTCATTGGCATCTTGCTCCATATCAAGTGCTCTAGCAAGAACGTGCTTCTGTGTTCTTGTAAAATTATCGAATGCAAACACCCTAGCATATTCCTGAGGAAGAGATTCCTAGAAATTGATATGCAAGATGTTAAGTTCTGTTGTTCACAAATAATTTTCAATACATTCCTCGTAAAACACAAGAACATACTTTGGGGTCCCATGAAGATGTTCTGAAAGACTTGACACCTCTGTACTTAGCAAATCGCTTTCGAGCAGGAATATCCAGTGGGGTATCCACTTCATCTGGAAATTCTGAATTGTAATAAAAAGCCATTAGAAAACAATCTTAATGATAGAGAATAACTCTCACTGCAGAAAAAGACTAAACTAAAATTTCAAAAACCTAAAGGGACATAACCACCCATTTCATCCTGGAATAACAGAAAAATGTATTCTAAAATTTCTGAAACAGAAGGTTCATGGAACTCCGTTATCCAACAAAGCATCGCAATGCACGACTGTGATCATTTAAAAATCAAAGTTAAATCCACATCTCAAATATACAAAGGACCAAACTGTTCTTAGATGTCACACACACACAACCTACAGTTGCATCTCCGATATTGTCTATATATCCATGTGACTCCACAGAGTATGTACACAATTAACTCCTACCAAGCAAACCATTACATTAGAGCAGCAAAACAAAAACAAAAATTTAGAAAAGTACCCTCATCTTCAGCATGTTCTTCTTTAATTTTTCGAATTTGTTCCTCTATCTGTTCTTTTGTTAAGTTATCGCCTTCCTGCAACACAATCAGCATTTTAACACACAGAACACAGAAGTAACTAATGTGAGCGTGCTTAGGAACAAAAGGTGTCTCTGAAAAGTTTAGAGAAGTAAAATATACTTCCTTCTACTTGAAAATGTAAGCTCTTATCTTTCAAACAATTACTTGTTTTACGTTTTTCTAAATATATATGACAAATCTGATGTTACATGTAATATCAGAATATAATAAACACAATGCTAATGGTTTATAAAATAGCAAGCTACTTAAATTTAACAAGGCAGCAAAAAGCCACAAAATCAATTAGTGGACACGATTGACACGGCAGTGAGGGATACTTCATGGATTAAATGAAGCTTCATTAATAGCATCTTATTTCAAAAAAGCGGCATTTTCTTCGATACCAAACTAAAAAGGACGAAGCCTCTGTAGTTCATCATAACTCCTCTATGCTAATCTGCTATTTCAGCTAATATGATTTGGCTACCAGAAAGGCATATTACTTCAGGCTGACACATTAGCAGGTGGGATAGATATGTATCAAATACTCACCATCATCACAGAATCAGTTTCAGTTTCTTCGTCGGATTCTCTCAAATATAGGGAACCCTGGTCATCGTCAAGCTCAAAGTCGTCCTTTTGCTTCTGAACAGGAAAACCACTCTCTAGATCATCCAGCACCATACCCTCATCTCCATCCTCATCACTGTCACCATCATCAGCATCAGAATCGTCCACAATCCAAGCAGCCTGCAAAATTTTGAGAACAATAATCACAGTGAAGATATATGAACTTAAGATAACTCAGTGTCGAAATAACAAAGCACAGATTAAAGAATGTAAAGAGAGAAAGAGGCTTTATTAGAATAGAGACGAGGACCACACCTGGTAGTCAGAGGTGCCCCAGGGAAGTTTCTTCTTTTTCTGTTTTCTATCCTTGTGGTTTTTATCAGCTTCATCCATTTCTGCCTCCGTTGGCCATGTCTAATGAAAATAAACTTGAAAATATCAATAACTTTATATAATTGAAATAAGCTATTTAGGTTATTAGAAGGATTCTGGCATAACATATTATCTTGTAGATAACACAAATAATTTACGAATGACCAAGAAAAGCAATATTGTCACACGAGGTGTAAGTTTGAAGGAAACTAACTAAAATCTCATCAAAGTAGGCCCTGAATTGCATGATACTACTACTAACCAAGGCCTCGATTTTATCGTCTAGATGCTGAATATAAAAGGCAAATGAAATGATATTAACCTGTTCTCCAGCCAGTGGATCAGGGGCATTCTCGACAAGTAGAGACTCTTGTTTCATCAGATCTGGAGTGAAGCAATGCAAGACCTGCATAAATTTAAAGAAACGGTATCATTAATATACAAGAGAACAATCAAATGGTGTCATGTAAAGTAGTCAGGATGGTCTCAATAATACAGGTATGTACATAATGGTTGTAATCAAACTTTTCAGGTGTGAAAAGACATGGGCTAAACTAAGAAGCGTATAAACTTAGCAGACAGTAAAATGCATATAAGCAGCCTTCTCCCCCACCCTTCCACACAAGAAAATAGAAAACCATAAAAGAAAAAAATAATGCAATACTAAAGACGAAAATGGAAAACGAAGCACTCAAAAAAAGACAGGTCCCAGAAGCGAGTTTGTCATCTCATGTTTAGTAGAAAAGAGTGTCTTTATGTACTTTATTATGTTCGAGTTCAGCATTCAGTTTCCTTTTCCCAACTCACTCATTTAGAAGGGACATTCTAGAACTATGGCCATCTAGGTAAAGCAATCAGGTTCAATATTTTGTGTCAAAAACCAAATCCGGACTTCAACATAGTCAAAAAGCCAGTTTCTTAGTAAAACTATCCAAGCTTCATAAAGATGTTCAACATTGTATCATACTTTGGATAAAATATTTGGACCTTGCTATTTCATTAAGCAATCAGCAAAATAAGGACTGTAAAAGTATTGTGGATGAGAGAAACCTCAATTATTAACTTATTATAGTTGTCTCCGGTGACTGCACCTTATAAGACACAAAAAAAATTCATAGTCCAAGTGATGTTGAGTAAGAAAGAGTAAGTAGAAGAGAAGAAGAATCAGAGAATTGGGAGAGTTTAGTGGTATGCTGAATATATCAAATTAATTGTCGTGTTTAGAGATACTAGTCCTATTCATGCTCAAAGATTTCTAAGGAAATTAAAAGTTAAAGTAACAATATTGAAAATTGACTGACTTAAACTAAAAACTGTGGTAAGAAAATAAATTAAATTCGCTACTTATTTACAAGACACAATTAAGTGCATAATTTTGGCATGTCTGCAATAAATCTCCACCACCAAGACCACTCGAGGCTTTTTCATAAATAATCTTCGAGACACGTGAATTAAACAGAAAGTAACTTTCAAATAAATAGCATGTTGCAAAAGACAGGGTAGATGGCAGCGAGTCAGTGAGTGCAATTCATATTTCTGATGAGTAGTTCTTTATTCAAATACATATATCCTGCTAATATTGGGGACATTGCTAACCTGTACATTCGTGTCATCTGATTCCATAAAGTCCTCTCCTTTCCTTGCATTCAGAGGACACGGATCCTTAAGAAGTTCAATTTTGGATAACTGGAAGTCCCCAGCACCAGCAACATGAACCTAATCCAAGACCATTTAGACACTGAACAGATTTCTTAGTTACAGATCAATAAAAAGGACTAAAGATACTACCAGCTGATTCACTGAGAAGCCATGAGCACGTATATATCCAGTGAGGAGAAGGGTACATTTTCCTGAATTGCTGTCGTCGGCTACAATATCAACCTGTAATGCAACAATAATTCGCGCATGAAATTAGTGCTATCTTCTGGTGAGTTCCATGCACGTGAATGAAATAACACAAGACAGAATTTCAGAATGTTGGCTTGCTCGTTCTGCAATTACTTTCTTTTAAGTCCTGGATTTCTAAGTTCAGCACTGCAATGAAGTACCACATAAGTATCGAACTTTTAGAGTTCCCTAAGTGTAATTGATATCATTTTGCCTGCAGTCTATGTTGCTACATTGAGCAGGTCACAGGTAGTAATTAGTCACTTTTGAATTTGGAGCAGATTTTCAGGTCTTGAAGCAAGTGTAAAAAAAAAGTCTAGATTAGGGCCACAAGATTCATCGACACAAGATAACTTGGTCCCAATTCTTATCCTTGAGTGATTATTCTTATCCATGCGCCCCAAGTTCCATGGACACAAGATAACTTGGTCCAAGCATCAATGAGCTTCACGCAAGTTACAACAGGTTAAATATCAATATATATAATGGTGCTCCATTTAATATCAAACAGCAATGGGAAGGAATGATTGGCAGTTAGTAATCTGAGATCTGACAACAAAATTCCTTATGACGGTTCACAGAATGTAGTTCAATGGTCAATTATTATACCTTTTGGGACATAAGGTAAGGCCGCTGGTTTCGCCAATGTGGAACTGTAAGCCTTTGCTCCTTGAAAAGCCGCATAAACTGGGACACATGAAAGATGAAGACAGACGCTTTAAAAATTAGATCATATGATTTCAAGAAGAAAATGTTTAATTGAAGACATATATTAAATTACTCCATCTTATAGTTGAACCCAAAATCAAAAGGCTCTAATCAAATATGAGTAACGAACCACCTTATGCAACTCATCCTTTGTGTCTGCCAGGTAAAACTCACAATCCTCAGGAAATTCGGAAGCAAGGCTAGAAGTGCACATTTTCTTCAAGTCATTTTTCTTCTTCAAATCGTTAGGTAGATCCTAAAGACATGTAAGACTTTTTAGCATACAACCATTAATATCTTTTCAATAAAACATAAAAACAGGTAACTTGAAAGAATACAAGAGAACGGAGAAAATTCTTACACGGATCAGCACCACAGTGCTTGGTAGGCCAAGAGTTCTGAACAGGGAAAGGCATTGAGATCCAAATGAATCAACAAAATGACCATTACCATTTTCAAATAAAGAGGTCGGAGATGCTACGAAAGCAATCAAATCAGCAACCTACAAAAAGAAGTGTCAATAACACCGAGAAGGAACTCGGGAGAGAGGCGTATGATCCATAAGTAAGCAAACACAGTCGTGAAACTCCAATCAACAAGCAAAGTACCTTGGCCATTTCCATGCATGTCAATATATCACCATGAGGAGCTTTCAAGACCTATAGGAAAATTTCAGTTAGATATGTTCCAACTTTCCCTGAAGAACAAAAGATTGGCAATCAACTACATAGATTCTCCAATTAATAGAACATGTGAAGTATCCCATCTACGTCGTACTGTTGTCTAAAACTCGTTACAAACTAACAAGCTAATAGTTAAGGATGGATTTAATTAAAAATATACTTCCAAACATTGATTCAAAAACATAAAAACAATATCCTCCTATCAAGTTAAATTGAGAAATATTAGTCTTTAACTTTATCCTTCACTTTCTTCTATATTCCAACTCAGCAACCTTTATTAAAATGAAGTTGCTAAAGATGTTAACAGTGCTCTAGCCTGTTTTCCAACAATTCACTGGGCCAATACATAAACATTTCGATGCCACCACACATCTATAGAACATCAATACAGGCAGACTCTTTAAATTCGTTAAAAAAGACAAGCAAAGTGATAATAACAGAAAGCAAATGGACTAACTCAAAACAATTGACCAGGCTTTGTAAATTAGTGGAAGGAAAAAACATGGTGATAATAACAGAAATCAACTAGACTAACTCAAAACAATTGACATCAAATTTTTACACACGAGCTTACCGTGGCTCTCAGCTTGTACTCCACAGAAGCTACGGCTGGAAAAACAGTATTATTTCCCTCCCCGGTCAACAATGCCATAATATCTTCTTCAATGGCATTCAAGTTCACAGAAGCGGAAAGACCAAAAAGTACCTGCAATATTATTTAGAAGTTGGAAAAAAAATTAAATTTTAATTTCTTTTCTCTTGCTTATTACATTAGTCATTGGGAGGGAATGGAAGGGGGCTTACAACAACACGGGGAGGACTTCTCGATCCAGATAATGCCCTCTTCTCTTTCAAAACCGCTGCTCTCTTCTGCTCCCTCATCTACACATTAACGAAGTTTTAATCAAAAACCTTATCCAACATTTTTTCTTAAAGTAACAATGCTCTATAATCCGGTAATTATCCTCTAAATACACACGTGTACACAACTATACCGAGTAACAAATAGCAACTTAAACAGAGAAAATTATACCATTTTGTTACGCTGCAGGCGAGCAGCTTTGGCTCCTTTGGCAACATTGCGCTCGGATTTTGCAATTTTACTCTTGTCTAACGAAACAATATAAGCATCAGTTTGTAATTCTAAAAGATTACAAACCCAAAACTCCAAAAATTAACAAAAAAATACCTTTCTGGGAAATTTTGTGGAGATTACGGGAAGATTTGGAAGCGAATCTAGTCTTGTGGGGCTTGTTCACTTGAAGCCGAGAACCAGCCATGGCTGTTGCGCGAGAATGGAGTTCAGACCTGTGAAAACATCGCCTAGACAAAGAATTAGGGTTTAGTGATTACTTTCGCGTGAATTTATATTTTAACATCCTAAGGTTAATTATTATTGCAGAAACATCCTCAATCTTTTAAATATTGCGGAAACTTACTGTAAAGTTTATATTTTTAGCAAATACTATGAACACACATGAGACTCGTAACGTTTCTTCTCAGAAATTACATAAACTTTACTTGAAATTTGTTTCCGATATTCTTCGATCAAGTCCGAAAAAAATAAACAGTTCAATTCCAATTTTAACCCTTTCTTTGTTTAATGGGGGTGTTTGAGCCACATTGTTTTTGAAGAATATATTTTGAAATAGTAAATTGATGGATAATATGTGGTGAAAGAAGAAAGAAAAGTTCTTTATTTGCGTATAATATTATTTTAATGAAAAATGTGTAATTGAAAAGAAGAAGGAAAAAATGTATTTTTGGGAAAAATAGGAATCAAACATCACCTATATTTGATATTGCTATTAAATGCAATGTTTCGAAAATCGACTTGAACAACGACCCGAGCAAAAAGTCAAAGGTCGAATGGTCGAGTCGGGGTGAGACCATTTATAATAGATTAAGAAACAAATATGCCACAAAATTAAAAAAAAAAAAAATCGTTCTTTTTTGAAATTAATTAATATATGTAGCTAAAAGACTTTTAATCTTGGCTACATTTAATTTTCATTATATAATCTCAACAAAAATGAGACAATAAATATAGCTAAAGTTTTAACATATAATTTATATAGCATTTTTGCATATGTTTAGGATTCTTTTTTATTATTATTAAAAAATTAAAAATTACTTTTCAAAATCAAAATTTAATTTTATCGACACATTTGAAGAAAATAAATAATATATTTTGAGGAACAAATTTTCAAATAAAAATAGTATTTCATTTCTTAAAGTATTTCCCAAAAGGTGTTAAAAGGCTTGAAGGGCGTCCATTTATAATATCAATCAATCTCAAATCGAAATTGAGAAAGAAAAAAGTTAAGGGAATGTTCTCTTTGTATTTCAGTTTTGTGTTTTGAGTTTTGAATTCATTTTGAATTTTGTGTTTTGAGTGTCCATTTTGAGATTGGTGAAAATGTGTTCTTTTTGGTATTTTGAAAAATTGTTTTGAAAACGCAAAAAACGCATTTTGAAAATTTTGACTTGATGATAACTGAAATAGAACGTGTTTTCACTGTTTTGGAAAATCGAAAACAGAAAATAACTTGAAAATGGTTAAGAGAACATGACCTAAAGAAAGCAATTATAAGATGACAAGTACATAGTAGCAAAACGATAATTTCTGGGCCTACAACCCTTTTGACATTGGCCTAAAATTTGTAGTTTTTAATTAAAAATGAACCAATTAAACCAGTGGTGGATCATCGGTTTGCGGTTGGACTTGGCTTTTGGCCGAAATTCTTCCAATTATTAGTTTAAATCATAATTGAACTTGTTTACTAGACGGTTCTCAAGTTTTCCGATTGTACTGATCAATCCAATTTGATTTTGATAACATTGATTAGATGAATAGCAACGTTGTTATGTGTGTGATTTTGATAACATTGATTAGATGAATAGCAACAAAGTTATGTGTGTGATGTAGTACAATTCTATTGCAAATATGACATGAATTTATTATTTATTTATTTGTGTGGCATTTATTTCTTGTTTAAGAATATCTTTAAGAAATTACCTATTTACAACGATCATCTTAAATGTATAATAGAAAGTGATCATCCCCATTTGTGTATCCCAAGGACCCTAAAACCCTAGGAGAATATCTATCCCATAAATGATGGGTGACCTCCTCGGGATACTCATCGGGTATACTTCTCGAGGAAGTGGTTCTCCCAATGGCTTCAGATCTCTTCAAACTTGCGACTTTTCAAGGGATTCGAGTGATAAGTGCATTTTTACAGATGTAGGCCCAAATATTGATAATTGTTAATAAATATGTGGAATATAGTTTAATTCGATGTAATTTGTGTTCTGCAGGACAACAATGATGAACATGGTGAAAATTCGGAAAAACAAGCGAAAAACGACTAAAATGAAGCACAATCAAAGTTTGAGGACTCAAATGTAATTACTGAAAAGTTGTGTCGATCTCACGATGAAGATTTGAGAATTCTGGACATCAATTAGATGACGAAAGAAGCCAAAGAGATGAAATATAGTGGAAGTACTTTCACATATCAACTTCTAATCAAAAAAGTTATGTTTCGAATTTTCAGTCTTAATTTAAAACCCATTTTTCGAATAAAAGACGTTCGAATTTGAAGATTTATATTTCAGGAATATTTGTAGCCCTTTGAGTAAGCTTTTCAATTCAATTTGAATCACCTCAATCGGATATTGGGAGAAAACGATATGATCAAAATATTGAAAATTGTCCGGTGGAAAAGTCACTCTACCATGCGGCCGCACGGTGCCGCACACATGCAACCAGGGAATCAAGAGGAGAAAAATTTTTGTTCTATGCAACTGCATGGAATATAACCATGCACCCGCATAGTTAATATTCGGTGCGAATTTTCTGGTTTTCTTTTCTCGTTCAACCTCTTATGGAAGGGAATCTAGGCAACTATAAAAGCCAAAAGTCGTCCAGAAACGAGGGGGACGCATTCTTAGAGAGAAAACAACATTAGAGAGCAAGGAAAGGGGCTAGAACAAGGGATTTCATGATTGAAGATTTCAATTTTAATTTCTAGTTTTTTGGTGATGTCTTCTCTTTATTATTTTTATTATTCTTTTATTTTATCCATGCTAGACTTGACTTTTTATGTCCTAAATGAACGATGAACCTTGTAGTATGTTCTTTTAATTCTCTATTTTGCACTTTGATATTCAAACACGATTGATGGATGTTGAATGATTTATATACACTTTCTTATCTCCATAGTTAAATGCATGTGATTATGTGAGGGAAATAGATTCTATAAGGTATAAATTATCGTAAGGTCTGATAGGGGATAGAAATATACCGCTATATTTTACGCGAATCTCTAAGTGTTTATAAAACGTCATGTATTCTTGTATATTGCATTTGTCATATAAATATAGTCAAATGGTATGCAAGAATATATTTAATTCTACTCGAAAGAGATTATTGGATAAGTTATAAATATTGATTTTTCAACCAATTTATCGTGTTATCGAATTGTGAAATAGATTTTAAAAGTGAGCTTACTTGATTATTCGGGATCCTAGTGCGCTTTTCATTCATTAATTTCATCAAACTTTTGCATTCAACATAATGTTGCATTCATTTAGTCAAATTAGCTTAAATTGCATTTTAGTCATATTTTAGTTATAGTTTAGTCATAAAATCCAAATAACCAACCTTATTGAGTTTAATAGATTCGATTAAGGTCTTGATAATAGAAATCAAATCAAATCAATCATCGTGGGACGATACTCGAAATTTTACAATTTCCACTTTATACTTGTTAACAAACCGTGCACTTGCGGTGATTTACAAAGCAAACATATTTTTGTGAACACATTTTTGGTGTCGTTGCCGGGAATTGAGTTTTAGTTTGATTTTTGTTATTTAGACACTAATTCGAACTTATTTTTTATTTTAGTTTACATATTGTTTTCTATTTAGTTTGTCTACTTGGGCTGAGCTAAGTGCTATTTTTTGCCTCTTTAGGTATTGCATGCAAAGATCAGTTGGCGGTGAACTACTTCCAACGGATTTGGAAATTGAACGAACTTTTCATTGCAGGCAAATGATTGCTAGAACAGCACCACAGGAAAATCAAAAACAAGTACAAATGGCTGACCAACAACTGGAACCGAGAGTAAATCATGCAGCTCCAGCCAATACAGGGGCATAATATGATGGGAATGCTCTTCTTCGGGATTTTTGTCACCATTCATCGCTCAAAGTCAATCCGCATTGTCTACCCCACATTCGAACAGTCAAACTTTTAGCTGAAGACGAATGTCATCCAACTATTCCAAAACGGACATCAATTCTACGGGATGACCAACGAGAATCCACATACCCATATATCTTGATTCTTGGATATGTGTCAACATTTCACTACCTAGGAATATCCGAAGATGCTATCAGGTTGAGGCTATTTCCACACACTCTACGAGATAAGGCACTTGAGTGGCCAGATTCACTTCATGTGGCAAATATTACTACTTGGAACGATCTGGCTCACAAATTTTGCACGAAGTTCTTTTCACCAGCTAAAGTTTCGAGATTGAGGTACGAAATATCAATATTCAGCCAGAATGAATTCGAATCATTTGACGAGGCATATAACAGATTTAAGAACATGCTAAGGAAATGCCCTTAACATGAGTTCAACTAACTATCACAAATCAGATTTTTTTACATATGACTACTTCCAACTTTTAGGACCATGGTTGACTCATCATCAAATGGCTTTTTGACCACAAGAACGATTGATGGAGCTAGGGAATTGTTTGAGAGAATGGCTAGTATTTCAGCCATGTGGTCTTCAGATCGAGGGAGTCCAAAGAAATTAGCTGGAGTCTATGAGATAGATACCTACTCAGCCTTATCTGCAAAGATTCATACCTTATTTCACAAGGTGAAGAGCATATCACAAACAGCAAATTCAGTATTAGTAAGAAAATCCAATTGTGAAGAATGTGAGGCAGAACATGGCACAACTGAATGTCTCACCCCTTCACAAAGAATTGAACAAGCGGTGCCCAGTGGGGTCAACATCAGCACAACAACCCCCATTTAGCGATGGCAACAAAGTTCGTCGGCTCAGGCGGCTCGGGCTTGGCCCGGAAAAAGTTCGAGCGGGGCCAAGCTAGGGCTCGGTGGAACCGAGCCAAGGCTGGAGTCAAGCTCGAGCCTGAGCCCAAGCGGGCCCATGGTCACGGGCCGAAATGGCTCGTAATATAAAAAACAAAAATTAAATAAAGGCAGCTAAAATAGCTGCTTGCATTTTAGCTACCT